CTCACTCCCCATGTGTGTTTTGATAACTAGGCTTTGTTTAGTTGTGCCTAATGGGTGTAAGAGATAAAACCTCCTTGAGCGTCCCCCTCCCGAAGTTTTTGTTCTCACACAATATAGGCAAAATAGCTGAGATATTGTGAAAACATCTTTATGATCTATACATTGAACCGTTCCCCGTTTATACAGATGAAGTTTCTTCCTCGTTACTTGTCAAAAATTCCCAACGTCTTGTTCTGGTTCTCAATTTTACCCCTTAGTTGTATTGCTGGAATGAAGATGAATCCCAAAGGTATTTGCTTACCAGAACAATGCGTTCCGAATCCTTGTGCCCACGGGGCCTGTAATGCCACTACAATGGACAAAAACTTCACGTGTACATGTGACACTGGATGGACCGGGGATTTGTGTGAGCAACGCGGTGTTGCAGAAGCCGGTTTCGCCTGGTGGTGGATACTTTTAATCGTGTTGCTGATCATACTCATCAGTAAGTTTGCCCGGACAACGCTAGTGAAGTACACGCTGTAATTCTTCTTTCCAAAATGCACGCCAATTAAATCTGACAGTAGGATACCAAAGGGGTGGGCAGAAGAAGCGCTGCATAGAATTTACGTAAATGCTTACCTTAAAAAGTCATTCAGTTCCAAGTAAGCTGTCCTTTTACTTGGCGGCTATTAGGGTCTCACTTTCAACAGACCGTCTACAAACGTGCTTCAGTCAACCCATTTCCAATGTTGTTAACGTTAATGTGAAACAGTTTTCCCATAAATATTATGAGGAACCAATAATTCACCTTTCTCTATAAGTTGCATGGGCTGCATATCTTCAGCTGCACAGCATTCCTCACACTATCACTATTCAAGGTCAAGCCGGATATGTGAAATTTTGAACTGTGCGACCGTTACGATTGGTAATATTACCATTGGTAATAAAAACTTTTGTGCTTCAAAAATCTGGTCTTCTAAGAACCTGGAAAACTGCACCTTAGGAGAGTACCAAGGGTAGCAAGCTTTTAAAAAGGACAAACTTAACTTGCAATTACTCTGTGGATTTATTAAAAGTTCCAAAAGACAGCCAGGGACCCTCTTTTTATTGGTATCCATTCGGTATAAAAGAAGGGAAACACCAAATCTGGATGAATGTATCAACATATCACGAAAGAAAATTCTTTTGCTTCCGAACACTGATTTGAAAATGGCTTTCCAGCTTATTGCATCAGTTCAGACCAAACGTGTCTCTTTTCTACTGGATAAACCTGTTATATCTAATGTTCAACAGCGTTTAACTCGAAAAAGTGAGTCTGACATGCTGATTAGGTATATTCAAGTGTGTTTGACTATCATCAACCCTCACTCCTATTGCTCCCATTTCTGTTTCTCTCCACACTGCCTTTCACTACAACACTGACCCTTGGGACGGATGCTTGACGCCATAAGTCCTTTTCTGCTTTCCACCATGCAGCTTAGCGTCGTTTTCTTCTCGAAATCAATTTATTATGAACAAACCTAGGGTTTCGAAACTTTCTTGGTCGAGAACAACTGATTAGAACCTATTATTTGGCTTAGAAATTTGAGTCTCCTATTAAGGCCATCCTAGGAGTGTGGAACCCGTTGAATAAGTCAAATGAGCCAACTTCGTATCGGTTGGGGGGTTATACGATAAACACCAATTAAACTTGTGCATTGTTAAGGGACTGTCGAGTGTTTAGTGTTCGGAGACAGTTTTTCGTACTACAGGTTGCTATACGATAACTATTCTAAATTCTAATACTATAATCTAATGGGAGCTAAGCGGATGGTTGCATTACTCTGGCTTATTGGTCAAGCTAACTGAATGAAATTGCGACCACATTGGGCACACTAAACTTTGGTGTTGATGTAACAGATTTCTATTCTGTTTCAGTTGTAATCATCATCATCGTGGTCTGCTGTTGCCGCCGAAAACGCCTGGGTCGAAAACGTCACACCGCGAAATCCGGTGGGTTAGACAGCGACCAGTTGGGGATGGACAGTCAGTTCAATGACCCCTGGGATGCCGGTAAGTCCTCTTATAGTGCTTGCAGTATCCCACATCGGTACAATGTACAGTAATTAAAGCCTTGTTGAAATACATTTACCTCTGCGATATGTGGAAGATAATCTGTCACTGTTATTAAAGTTAGTTCAGCTAATTTACTTGTCTGTCCTTTGAACGAAGTTTTACCGAAAGTTCTTCACTTTCCCTTTTCTCGTGGGGATTTGCTTTTATTATTGTTTATAATACTGGTATACTTAGGTGAAAAGGATTTCACCGGATCCATAGATTACTCTGTCTTCCAACCCGGATTCAAACTACCCAATGGACATCAACGATACACTCCTGACCGAATGACAAATGGTTCAGCTACTCAAGGTAAGTCGCCATCACTTTACTGACCGTAATGAATCTCCAAAGTGAATTTTAATTCTAGAGTCACTTGGTTACCACCCAACCCGTGGGAAACAAAATGACAACTACACTCATTCACCCCACCGCGACCCCACACAACCCACTTCCCCAAGTTTACTCACCTGGATGATTCTGAATTGCACGAACTCCTTAGCTAACCACCTAGACTCATCTGTATATTTGGGGTGTTCTCAAGACACTCCCTCCAGATTCGGAAGAGCATAACTAAGCCTGAAGGATTTTTTAGCTTTGTGTTTAGCAATGGGCAAAAAAGGCGAAAAAGTAGAACTGTGGATTTGAAACTCATGGATCGTGTAAAATTTCCACAAAGCCATTCTGAGTAGGAGCTGAATACGAATGATATTTGTTTTACCTGCAGTCGAAACACAAAAGTCTGGTTGATTTTTTTCTGTCAGCGTATCATTGATAGTAAACTAAGGTCTCCTCATGAAGCTCCCAAAACATTTGGATCACACAGTTGTCTTGGCATGATGCCTCAGTCCGCTATGCGGGTCTATTTGTGGGCGACGAAGCTGTAATCATGCCAAAGATACAGGGTAAGTGGAGCAATTATCAAGATAGAATAGCACGCTTTTGAGATGGGTACGTAACAGGAGATTCATTCAGGTTTGTCGGACAGTCTCTCTTCATTTTTTCGGATATGGCTAGGCTTATACTCAAGGTGGAAAATAGCGTAGCAAAGTAGGTAATCGATGGTCTTGCTGATTTAGAGTAGTAGTTTATGTGGAATAGAGCCTGATTTTTCCAACCGTTTATTCGGGCGTTGTGATAGGTCCATTTCCTTACGCATTAGGTTTGAAATATGCAGGAAGACATCCCTCTTCGGTGAACTTGAACAGTATATGTACCAGAATGACAAGTGGTCACGATCCACGGTATAAGTGGTCCACGAACACCGTTACAGTAGGTGTAAAGGTGAATTTTCCAAACTGGATTAGTTGTCACAGTGGGTTCACGTGACTCAACCAAGTGACTCGGCTACTCATGAGGTTGCTCAAAACTCTTTCATAGGCCGAGACCAGTTTCGCCTTTAGTACTGCGCACCAGGTAGTTGCAATCGTCGAGTATCCGTTAATTTTATGTATCGCTAAAAACCATATTGTACATGGTCCGAAAAAACTCATTTGCAAACTACTGTAGTTTGAACGGAAGAATGAACTTTATGTATTTGCCTAATTTGTTTGTACTTGTTCATCCTAATGTTAAAAAAAACTTACTCAAGTCTTTTGTCATTTGCAAATCAGGTAAATCACTTCCTCCTACGTTTAGTACAACTGGAATGGTTCCGCGAGATCATGGGCAGAAGACATCAGTGATCCCACCGTGGGTTAAATTTGAGGGGCAAGAAAATCCAGCAATGAATCTAGATCAAGCTTTGGAATATGGATACGAGGGATTTGATGGAAAGCCACCACCGGAGTTTTGGGCTGACGATCCTGCGCGCTTTGAATCCGATCAAACCAGTGAAGAGTATTCAGACGAACAGCCAGATTCGAACAACGATCAGGATCCAAACGTCATAAACTTGGAAAGAAACATATGATTTTTATATATCAGGTCCCATTCCCATACCGTGTACTTATACTAATGCTTATAAACCGCAGCGATCGTCAGGGATTGGTCATTCACACCATGAGGTGGATGTATGTAACTTGACTAAAAGTTCCGTTCTGCTGCTTTTACACAATCAATCATTGGATATTTTTTATTTTTCCACTATTTTCAGCTCAAGTTCCTATGAAGTTGTGTTTGGCAAGCTTATATACCGAACATGCCAAAGGTTGATTTCGATGCTCATTGACTCTTAAAACTGTTTTGGGGGGGGGGCGGGATTTGCACATTTTCGAATGATATTGACTTCAATCACAAGAGATCTCAAGAAAACAGGCCCTGCATTAGGACATGTAAGAGTCGGTTTAATCTGTTTCAAACGGACACCAACGCCTGCTTCCTTGAGACGTCTTCAACTAGATTGTGTCATTTTACAACCTAGCTTTTATTTTTACACCTGAAGCTTACCATGCCTAAGCCATGACAAGACACTATCACATCGTTTGACTGAAACTTATATGAGCAGATATAATTTTGTGGCACAAACCTGGGTTAATTCAAGCCTGAAATCAGTGGTGACCAGAGTCTAACAACCCGTCAAAATTTATTCGTAGTCAAATAGTCCCTTGAGGATGTCGTGCGGTTGTCTGGCCACATGCACACGATCTTTCCTCACAAGAAACTGAAGTCTTTAAACGCGCATGCTATTGGCTTCAATGGTGAGTCAATATCCAAATTTAATCGCTTTAGTCGCCCATAGGAAAACACCCATTGTGAAAACAACAGCTGTAGTTGGTTCACCGGACCATGTTTTGCCGGTAGGAACAAAATGGGAGCGAGCTTAAGTACGGAAATTTAAACGGCAAATTGTTTCACATGGGTTTTCAAAGCTTAGTTTGCGTGTACTTCACCAAAGCCAACCAAGATGAACCATCTGAAAGTAATTCAACCTTCTGAGCTAAGGTATCATTTGAAAGTACTATACTGACTCCATCTTATCAACTGCTCGGCACATTCCGTCCGAACTTCTGCAAGAACTGGCCGAGAAAATGGGTGTTCCTACTGGTCCGCAATATTTGCCTAACAGTGTACAAGATTATTCACAATCGTTGTATACATGAAAACGACTTGCGTTTTTCTGAGGGCGAGACCGACAGTTACCCAATCGAACTATGCTATTCACCGAAAAATGCACACAGGCAGCCCAGCATTTCTGCGTGGAGCCCAACCCATATGCGTTTATCCACTTTATCCACTTGAAGGTGGGCTGCAGGTATGTCATGCAGGACCGCCTGTAATTCTAAAATATTATCTTTGAAGCCATCGTACGAGTGGGTCACTCGTCTCAATCCAGTTGACAGTGCGATTACTCATCTTTCAACCTAATTCCAGTTTAATATTTAAGGTCTTATTTCAGCTACGGGGCGAAGCAAACAGTAACCACTTGTACGAGGAGAAATGCTTTATTCCTTCTTGCGCTTGATATGAGCCGAGTGCAGTCTACGGTTTCGGTCACCCCTGAAAGACGCGCTCGTGAAAATCAACCTGCTGATACAATAAACGGAAAAGGCAATCTTCAGAATCACAGATGTTTGGTAGGGGGTCTTCGGGTTCTACCGGTTAGGTCAGTAGCATACTGATCAAGCCGATCCGAGCTCAACTTGAACGGCTGCACAGTAGTTCAAGTAAGTACATGTTGCTTTGTACCGTATCTATTAAGGTGTCCTTGTACGGCATGATCTCAGATGAAAAATTTCAGCTGGGTACTATACACACAGCTTTGCATTAAACTGAGTTGATAACATTGACCAAGAAAATTGATAACCATGCCTTGCTGTGCTCCAAGACTCCTAACTGATGAATATAAGTTGTCCCAGAAGACAAGATATCCATTCATATGTTTGTATAAAAACTGAAACTTACTTTCATGCCTATGACAAAGTTGAACCGCCAGAAACGGTTCTGAGGAATGGTTCGTGTTTTCGCTGTCATCTTCTTGATATAAGATCGTCACCAAGATATTCAGTGAGACGATCTTTTTTCACCCCATAATCAAAAACGATTATTGCTTGGGCTTTATTTAAGCTATTCAAAACGCAATTCAGACCGGTACAAATAGTAAGTTTCAAGAAAACTGGGGTTCGATATGCCATCTACTAAAATGGTACATGAAGGTTTGGGCGTGAAAAGAAGACAAATATTAGACCAGAATTTTCCATCCTTTCGTCAGCAGCAACCCCGCTGATTATGGATCAGAATTTAGCATACAGTAGACAGAGCTATGGTGGCCCTCAGTGATATCACTTATGTACGTTACAGCCCCCAAAAATGACACCTGTAAAATCCATTGAAATATGTCATTTTTACCCATAAAACCAGTGACATCTTGGTTGCTGGTCTGTTCGCCGAGCTTGGAAGATGGATTGCGGACGTTTCATCATCACTCGAGGTCAGCCACTCAACCCCGCAATGGCAATGTCACCTCAGCTGGTGATAAATCGTTTACGAGCTCGGCGAAAAGACCAAAATACAAGCGGCACAACCAGGCTACCTATATTCTGCAACAATGCCAAGTTTCGGAGTGGCTGCAAGTGTTCGCACAGCCATATGGTGACCCCATGGAGTGAAGACTTTTGTGCACTCCAGACTGGGACATAACGTCAAGAAGCCCTTTTGAACGTACGGAGGGCTCCAGAGGGACGGACTGTTTTCATCCTGGCCTAGACTGCAATAACATTTTGGCAGCACTATACAGCTTTTGCTTTAACCTCTCATTTTTAATGGTCTTCCTTCCGTCCAACCCGCTCCGTCATACATGAAGCTTGTTTCTGTCCAGCAATCGTCAGGACAATTTTAGTCCATCCACCACTCACGTAATAATATCCAGTTCACTCATTTCCTGTAGTCCATAGTCCCCAAACTTGGGTACCGTAATCCTTTGGCCTTTAAAAATCTGAAGAAGTGATCTGGGTTGGTTAGTCTTTGAGTACCAAAGGGACCCTTTAAAGAATGTCATTTTTAATGGTTCTCCTTCCGTCCAACCCGCCCCGTCTTACATGAAGCTTGTTTCTGTCCAGCAATCGTCAGGACAATTTTAGTCCATCCACCACTCACGTAATAATATCCAGTTCACTCATTTCCTGTAGTCCATATTCCCCCAACTTGGGTAACTTAATCCTTTGGTCTTTACAAATCTGAAGAAGTGATCTGGGTTGGTTGGTCATTGAGTACCAAAGGGACCGATTAAAGAATGTTTTAAGATATTGAGGCCGGATGGAACCGATAAACAAACATCGGCAAATTTTACCGTTTACACAATCAATTCACTTCACGTCGTCAACATCATGGTAGGCGTCGCTGACCACTATAAGCTTGGCTTTCCAAAATCCTCGAGCACGTATAAAGACTACAAGCCTGGCATACTTTTCAACAATTCTGCCTCACATTCAGAGTACTGCTCGGATTACTACATCTTTACAAGCTCTAAATTTATGTGCGCATAAATCAATCAATAACTTTTAGCTTGATAAACTTGCGGCAAACGCGTCACCAAACCATTATTCTTGATTGTGCAAAAACCCCTGTATTATATCTACCATTTCTCTTTATCAGTTTGCTCTTGCCATGCTTCCCCAAACTTAGAACAACCGCCTCCAGTTTATTTCCGACAGCATTGATGTCGTCAAATTTATGCTCGACACTAAAATTTTGTTGCCGTGGAACCACAGTTTGAGAGCGTTGTTGTGGCAAAAGGAGTGAAAATAGGGAGAAAAGACAACTAAGGTCGTTCTAAGGTACCAACTTCTCCAGACACTCGTTCAGACAACCTGGATAGAAACTGTCAGCTGCAGTATCAAGATCTTGCAGCGTCCATAACCACGTACACGGAGCATCTGGATAGAAACTATCAACTGCAGTATCAAAATCTTGCAGCGTCCATGACCACGTCCACTGAGGGTAACTCTGAGCCCCGTTCTGGAGAATTGGTCACGCCGAGGGTACCCATACATTTAGCAATCGCTTTCCTATCCCTCTGTCCTTACACCAGACGAAATCTGGCGCGGAGTGCAGCAATTTTTCGGTAAACGAGTATTCGGCAAGGGCAATAAATGGTCCAGATACCGCCGTTTTGGGGGTATTGAACACATTATCCGACTAGCTTTCAACTTACATAACCCAACAATCATTTTCTAACTGTCAGGTTACAGATTCGTTGGCAGCTGTCTATACAAGGTACGGCTTTTGGTCAATGGTTGTCAAAAACCCGAAGACATTTCAGTTCTGTCGCTTAGCTAGACCATATCTCATAACCACAGAACAAAAAATGGCACGTAGTGTAGTTTAATATACACGTCCCTTAAGACTTGGGGTTATGCCATTTCGCCGTCACAGGTTTCTAAATCGGTGTTCCTCACCCCAGCCTGACAGATTCATGCACCGACCTAATCTATCTCACTAAACCTGGGATTTATGCGACTTCTGAGATTCGTAAAATGCCCCGCAAATGTAAGTGCTCCCCCCTTTGAAATTCAAGTGGTGTGTTCAGTGTCTGCATGTCCAGAAGCACAGTCTCAAACCTTGCGGGTGCAAGCCGTATGCCAATGGTCAATGCCAATCCCTTCATCTTCCCTCCGAACGCCATGGATTTGAAGATCTGTCTCTTATCTCAATAACAAGTCAATCGAGAAATTAAACATGAATGGAAGGAATGGATATCCTTGCCGGGAAGCACTGTTTGGCTGCCATTCTGGACGATGTGTGAAGCCATGGTCAAGAGAATCCCTACCAGGCTGGAGTCCAGCCTGCTGCTATCGAGTCAACGCTTCACGGGCCACCACAATGCGACGTACCATGAGTGGCACCTAAAGTCTCGTCATTCACTACGGTTCTTTTTTAAAATGGATTATTTTTTCGATTCTCCCCAAATTTCTGAGGTAATCCTTTACCCAACAACTCTCACTGAAGACGTCATCCCATTCTTGAACAATGCGA